CTCGGAAGCTGGAGGAGCCCACAGAAACCATGAGGTAGCGGAGCTACTGAAGTTTTGGACAGAAAGAATAATGGAGATAGACGCGGTGGAGAAAGAGGGGCCGAGCCTGGGCCTGATTCTTGAGAAAACACCAGAGGTGATAAGCATACCGCGCTCAAACAAGAGAGTTGAAGTGAACATGGGCGGTGGAGATGGCTTGTTAACCACGAACTTGGGAGTGATATGGAAGCTACTAAGACCCTCCTGGTGTCCACATCCCCATGCGAGTCTAATCGAGGAAACCACCGAGCGAGTGAGGTTAGCACCAACGGAAGATGAAGATCTGGCGAAGTTGAGTGTGCTACATAAGCTAATCACACCCCAGATGCAAGAGCCAAGCGAAAGGACGAGCGACCCCGGGTCAGCAAAGAAATTGGAGCCGGGTAGCTGTCTGGATTCGACGTGTGGGAACGGAGAGCACATCTGCGATGGACGGTCATGCGTCAGAATACTGTCGTTTCAAAAAGAAGACCTGGTCACTTGGTTCGAAGACATCACAGAAAGGGAGAAAAGTGAAGTGCAAATAATAGCGGAATGTTACGCGAGAACCACGGTGAATATAGCGACAGCTCTAGGATTCTTCTCGAGAATGTGTGGTCTGCAGGCACTGGAGAGACTGGAGTCTGAACATCATTTAGTGACGGCGTTGAGCGTAGAATCATGGCCCGGGGTGTTGCAGGTGACTCAAAAACACATCCGGAGCTGGAAAGTTGGTCTTGAGGCGGAGATGGGATTTCCCCTGAGCGAAGCTTATGGCTTGCCATTGAACGCGAAATCGCTGATAGGGTCAATGATGGCCAACTTGTGCGGAAGTCACTACCCGCTACACATGGCGATGGTGGAAGTGTCCAGCCAGAGAATACTGGTGGACAAGGCCTTCTCAGTGCCCAAGTGCGTGAGGTTGGCTCGGATGTCGCATCACTCGCACAAGTTGTTGAGAAAAATCAAAGGGACAGTACCAAAAGAATTGAGAGATGACTTAAGCGAAATCTGGGGAGAAGATCTTCTGAAGTTGGAAAGAGAAAACACAAGCGATCACGAGAGACAAAACGTGATCGGGAAACCTGTGGGAAGTACTCCGAACCTGGAAGACAACGACACGATGCACGAGAAAATGATGGAGCTTGAGCCTCTCTTGGAAGCCTCAGGGGAGCGTAATCTCAGGAGCATTGAGATCTCTCATGGGGAATGCCCATGCCACTGTTTGGCACAAACGGTGTGGTATCCAGATCACAAGAACCTTTGCCTGGTGTGGGATGTGGAAGAGATTCGGTCGATCGGACTACCGGATCACCGGCAGAAGGTGACGCTCTTAGTAGTGAGTACGATGTTAGCTCTGAGATGGATAGAAGAGAATATAACGAAGTATCGGGAGGCGACGACGCCAACGGCTGAGTCAATATACGCGATAGACTACAGCAGGAGACTCGAGTTGTTTGAGACTGCGTGCAAAGTATTCGCCATACCGACGGAAGTCAGGCACGTATGGAGTCGCTTGAGGTACTTTCCATGGTTTCGGGCGACACTGACGTCTTGGTTGTACAGGGCAACGAAAGATCACATGAGAAAACATCAAAAGGAGTATCGACAGTTCCAGGCCGAGATTGGGCCGGAAGCTTTCAAGAGACCCCTGCTAACCCATCGTAATGCGATCACGACGGGATGGAAGAGAGTGGGTAAGATGTCTAGAGACAATACCAAAGCGAGGGAGTCGATACTAGAGGAAGACCTGGCGAAGAACGTGAGCTTGAGCCTGCACAACTCCTTTTGCTTGAACCGAGAAGCTAGGGTGAAGGCACTACCCAACCAAGCAAAGAGATTGCAGGAGCAGAGAGAATGGATGCGATCCTATGAACAGCTGAAGGCTTGGGAGGAGATTGTGATTAGTTCCGATGATGAAGAGGAACTGTTGAGACAGTTTGCCGCATCTAGCACTTCAGGATGCAGTACCTCCAAGGCGAAGAGTACGAGATGAATGGGCAAATCGGATGGATCTTGAGTCTTGAGAGGGAAAGGGGGCTTGAGTGTGAATCCGAGTGAAACTTGGATTCACGAAAAAGAAATTTTAACAAAGCAAATATTGTTACTAATATACTATATCTATTATATAAATCGAAATGCTGCATGACAATTTCCTGATTGAATAGGACAAAAGAGATTTTAAAATGATTGGCTTGAAAAGCGAAAATTCAAGGGTGCAGGTGTGTGCAGATTTTGATTGCTGTTTAGCAATAGTGTGAAAATTTTACATGGCTGTGAATTTTGGGGTGTAGATAAGCTTAAGTCTGCTGCAAACTTCTGTAAATGACCACTGGCACTGTATCTTGAGCAACACTCGGTTTTCTGGGACTCACTGGCAGAAGACAGCACGCGATGAGGACATCGATCTCGAGTCCGGGGAGTATGTGCCAGTCGGTCATAATTGGAAGTTTGACCTTGAGAAGAGCAGAAAACACTTGATTTTGTAGTGAAATTTAATTTTTCAAAATTTCGAATGGAACATGTCATGCACGATTTTCTCGCGATAACTGAAAATCAGAAAAAGAAAAGAGAACAATTTTAGAACAATTGCGGGAAAGTTGTCAGATAAAAACGAGTGGGAAATTGCTATTCGCAATTTCCATCATAGTGAACAAGAGTAGAGCTGTCCTATCTGAAATAGAAGACAGAGTATTCCCGAGAGAGTAATCATTCGAACTGGACCAGAGTGAACCTTCGACGGAAAGGTGGACAGCTTGAGTGTCCCAATGGTCCACATAAAACTTCGTTCTTGAGTTCAAACTTACCCTTACCATTCAAACTGATAAACATTGAACTTATCTAGTTACTTTAGTTAATTCTAGAGTTGCTCACCCATTTAATTACTTCCTGTGCTTGAGCGCATCAACATGTGAGTCCTTAATTTAAATTTCTAGAGTGTGTTTTATGATTGTTATGCTGAGGTAAGGCGAGTTTTAGGTTGATCCATCTGAAATGGATCAAAGTTCCACTGTCTAATAAAAAAGCAACTTAACGGATTGTTCCGACCCGGTTTTTAACGGCGTTCATGTATTTTGGGTATCTAGAGACCTAAGTATGGGGACGTTTCTAATATGGGGACGTTTTTAGTAGTAGCCTTTAAGCTGTAACGGGTCGTAGTCTCATGTCACAAGCGAACCGAATTGGCTCCGACTGATTTGAGGCGGAAAAACACAAGAGATAGTGTCCCTGACTCCTGAGCCAATAGTTATAGGGCCTATTTTTCTTAAGCCTCATGTGTGACTGTAGTAGACGAATGTTACACATTTTAAAACATTTTGTCACAAATTTCTGAGAGTTTTCTTCATTTTAATTTTCACATTTTCTTTTTGTGGCTAATTTTAATGCTAACATGTAAGTTGTTTCAAAATTTTGTTGTTTTAGCCAGAATTTTTCGATTCTGGAACTATAGCCTTAGTATCAGCTCCCTACTTCTAAACTCGTCGCGGGTGTTAATTGCCGGTCTCTCTTTCCTAATGTGCAGCGCCTCTAATGTAAGTAACTTGATGCTGCTGGACGCCTGGTCGATTATTTTCTAATTAAACTCAGACTTACCACTCTCACTACCACACTGCCTTATATGCTGTCCAACTGGGGTATCCTCTTTTCGGTGTTCATTGATTTTCATGGCTTTATCATATTCTTCCCATGTTGACGTACTGCGGAAAATCCGGTGAACAGTTCCTTCAATCACACTTCTCTTGTACTGAAGGGGGCGCAGCTTCTAAAATTTAGTATGGTACCTGTATCTGTTGGTTTTTGACAGATATCTCACTATCTCACCTGTATCTCACTATATCATCAACGTAACGGAGAAATAACTTGGCTTGTTGCCCTGAATTATTTTTCTCTCTTATTGCGATGCATTTTCTGCAGTACCAGACGGTTTCACTTATATTTCGATACTCATCATCTGAAATATCACCGCATTTTACGTCATACCAGCTCAAACAGCATTCACATTCTACACCTTTTGACCTGTACGTGACTTTGCTTATTGCACTCGGGACATATTCCGTGAAGATCTTTCTCGGGCAAAAACATTTCGGGAATATCCCTCGATAGTGCAGTTTTGTACTGCTTCAGCCAAAGATTTGCTAAAATAACGGCAAGAGATGCCCCCATTGCCAAACCATCTTTCTGAACGTACCATGTTTCATTGCACTTGAAATGGACTTGACTAACTGCCATGTTCAACAGTCTCTTCATGGCTTTCCTAGCATTTGATGGTGGTTCATCTTGCTCATACAGTATTCTCAGAGCTATGTCTATCGCGTCTTTCAGTGGAACATTTGTGTACAAACTCTTCACATCTAGAGATCTCAAGTTTTCATTGGGCTCAAGATTAGTGCTCTCTAAGATTTCTCTCGCATCTAGTGAGTTGGTTTCGATGTTTGCGCCCTCAATTTTCTCAATAATTTTGCAAGAACCTTGTTCAAGTTATAATAAGAGCTACCAGGCAAGGAGAGGACCGGTCTTAAAGGGGTATTCACTTTATGCACTTTCGCCAACCCATAAAGCCTGGCGGGCTGCCCCCCAGTAGACCTCATCCTTGTGTAGAGACTCTCACTTATTTCATCTTTTTTCCTCATAGCCAACAACTCCTTTTTGATGTCTCTTTCTATCTTCAAAACAATCGCATCACTTGTTCCTTTAATTTTGCTGAATTGATTTGAATCTATTCTATCCGACAACTTGTTCTCGTAGGTGTCCTTTCTCATTACACAAAAACCCACGCCTTTGTCATACGGTACCGCAACTAATCTATTACTCTTCAGATACTTTCGGGCCTTCTCAACGCCTTTGTCAGATGGTGTTTGTTTCACCCTTTTAGCATAGGCTTTTGCCACAGCTTCGATCTCACAAAGGGCCTCCCCGGGGACTTTACGATTTTTGAGATCCGATAGAAAGATGTCAATGTCGGCGAGAAAAAGCATCTTATTAAATTTATCCCTGACGGGATGCTTTGGCCCTAATGCCAACACTTGTTGTACCCAATTTGGTAATTCAACATCATCAAGAGCTCTTACCGAACCCTCACCTTGCTTCCCTAGAGGTCGGTCTTGCCTTTCTGATAGTTTCATTAGCTTCTTCTGATGGGTCTCTTTGACTGTTGCTGTTTGTCTTTATCCCCTAAGACTTAAATATTTAATTACCGAAGGCCAAAACTTCTCATCTACACCCCTCTGTACTGCGCCTCTCGCCCTTTCTAGTTTGACTAGAAGTTATTAGTTGTCGCGAGAAACTTGAGCATTACATGCTCAATTCGATTTTTTGAATTAAATTAGGTACTCACATACCGACACGACCTCTAAAATTGAGTAACTAAACTATAAAGCAACTCTAGAATTGATTGGGTAATTAGGTTTAACTCGAGAAGTTTTAAATAAGTAAGTTTTAACTCAAAAAACCAGTTCCACCTGGTCCACCTTTCCACCGAAGGTTCACTCTGGTCCACTCTAGTCTACTTCCTTTCCACTCGCGATCACTTTCTGTCTTCTGCCAAGAATACGACAGCTCTACTCTCGTTCGAATTAAGTAATGGAAATTGCGAATAGCAATTTCCCGCTGCTATTTTTGACTACTTTGCCGCGATTGTAGTTCGAATCTTCTGATCTTAGTTTTCTGAAATTTTTAGTTGTCGCGAGAAACTTGAGCATGACATGCTCAATTCGATTTTTTGAAAAATTGCATTTCACCCCAAAATCATGACTAAACGTTTTCTCAAGGTCAAACTTCAAAATATTACTGACTGACACAAGTGTATCACTAAGAAAAACAAAACACAATTTATTTCAAACGAACAAAAAATACTAAAAAAACAGGAAAGATCAGTAAGATTAAAAATAACAAAAAAACGACAGTTTATAGTTTGTTTTTGATTAAGATGTTAGTCGACCGTTTTATTTGTTGATTTTTCAGGTTGATATTTATCATTCCTGATCGAAAGATCAAATGTTTTGTCTGTTGTTTAGGTACCCTCCCTTGTGTGGTGTTTGAGCATTTGAGAATGTTAATGATAATTTTGCCGGTGACTAACGGGAAAACATCCAGAACTACTGTTGGGTATCTTAATCCCTTTTTTAGTATCGTTAGGGTACTATTTCAATAAAAGTGGGTGGTAGGGGACAAGAGTGGACCGCTCCTTTTGCACCCTCCATCGGTCGCAAATTTCCGGGTTAAAGATCTTATTTCGAATATTCTGAAGTCAATAAAGGCATAAGTTTGCCCTTTAACGTGTAATATTAGGTACATCCCATAGCAGACATGTAAGACCCTACTTTTCTCAAAAAATACAAGCTTTTGACCCAACTAATTTCCCCCAAAGTTTTGATTATCCGAAGGTTATCCGAAAAAAGAAACCACGTATTGCAAAAGTTTTTGTCACTTTATTTCAGAAAACTTAAAAATTTGATCGAAAATTTTTTTGACAAATTCAAAAACATGCTCGAAAGTTTCAATTACTTTTAAACACTTCCAACAAGAATTGAGAATAGTGTTTTTAAAAACTGACATAGGTAGTGCAAAAAAGCCAGTTTAGAGCAAACGCCTTCGTTGATTTTTAAAGACAAATGAACCAATTGGAATTATTTTTCGTACCATGAGTCGAAGTTTTTGCTCATTTTTTTGATCCATAACTGTTTTTAAGTTAATGGGTTTGGAGGAGAAATTTTTGAAATTGTCAATTGGGAGGGTTCAAATTTAAGGAACCCTCGAGCGGAAGTAATCTGTATAAAGTTTCAATTTATCCTACAAGGAACGTTTTGTGGATTTCGGGGAACCTTCCGGAGTGAGTTAAGCCCCTCAACAACCCTCCTTAGTAAAGTTTTGGGGCAACCTCCGAAGGAATTTAGGTGCCCTAGATGTCCTCGGAATTAAGTTAAGCCCCTAACAATCCTCCTTAGTGAAGACCAAAGGAACCCTCCGAAGTAAATTAGGTGCATCAAATACCTCTTTGGAACCGAAATAGATTTTGAATATTTTTTCTATCATTATTATGGTTGTGTGGTTGCCTTGAGCTTCTAAGAAGGACAGCTCCGGCAATCATGGTACAAATGAAGAAGACCTCGGTGAGTGTGCTAGGTCCGAAACACTCACTTGAGAAGAGAATCAATTGTTTCTTACTCTCATGCACTTGGACTGTTCGAGTCTGGGGGATTTTTTTAAAATCAGATCTTAAATACACATTTTTGATCAGAGGTTGCCTTGAGCGACTTCCTAGGACAGCTTGGGCATTCGCAAGTTATATAGAAGAAAACCTCAGTGAGTGCGATAGCAAAAAGGCTTTCACCTGAAACGATCAAGGTCCTAGGTTTTGTTCATTAAGAGTGTTCCAATTGAGGGAAATAATTTTCTTTAGGGTTAGATCTTACGTCATCCTCACTGATTTGAGCAGAATCAAGTTTGTCTCATTACTGGACAGACCCGGTGTTTAATCTTGAACAGAATTGCATTCCTAAAAAAATTGGAAAAATTGAGTATTGCGTCACTCATCTTAGAAAATGGAACGAAGGAACTCATCAGGTGAAACTTACTAAGATACTTAGGCCTAGGTAGTAGGCGAAAGTTTAAGCTGCGACGTAGCCAGTCCTCTGCGAGCAGTACCTCTGATGGTTTTGTTCATGACGCAACGAGCGAAAGGTGCAATGACCTTTTAGTGATCGGGATGAAACCAGGTAGCGAAAAAAACGTGAGGAAGAAACAAGTTCGCGGAGGGGGAAGAAACATTAAACCAACCCGACCAACACCATCACAGGGATCTTGAAGGATCCGGCGACGACTCTGATTAAGATAGAATTGAAAAAAGATAGGGAGGGACCTCAAAGCGTTCCGAGACTAAGGCAAGAGAGGAGCTGTTGCCTAAAGACTCGACTAAGTCAAAGACCAAGAGCGATACTCGGAGAAAAGAGAAATCCTCACAGGCTAAACAAAGCAAGAATGCGTTGATTTCGAGCATGAACCATAGGGAAAAAGGTGCTAGCTCAAATTCAAGAAAGAGCTTTAAAACCCTGTACGATGAACGCATGACAGCTACTCAAGCTAGCGGATTGTCATCTGGCTTCGCTCCTTTGGAACCAACGCACTCGGACACTAAACTTACTCCAAGCCCGAAGCATGAGAAGAGAAAAAACCGGTGTCCACTTCATTACTGAGACCAGTATCGGATGGCATTACGATGAGAGCTTCCTCGACATTTGATAGATGAAAGATTTTGATGGGAAGACAGTGGGATGGGACAATGGGAAGACAGTGCAGGGTTCGACTGGTGAAATGAATGGCATTTTTGCCGATTTTATGACATGTCTCAAAAAACTGCGAAAAGACATGACGAAGAGAATAGACAGAGTGGATGAAAGAGCTCAATTTGGCCCATAGTAGTAGAAGAGTGAGGGAGAGTGGTGGGGGGGGGGGGTGGTTGGTGACCCCCATGTATTAAGATAGGCTATAGAGTATCCGGTCACCAACCTATGTTTTAAGATAGGGAATAGATTTCCTATGTATTCAGATAGGTAATAGGTTTCCTATGTATTAAGATAGCAGGTTTCAGATGGTAAGATGGTAAGTTTCAGAAAAAATTTCGGCGCCCGAATTTTTTGAGCCCGATTTTGCCAATACTTGCGTTTCTTAGCTAGCTTCTACGGTTTAGATGTTTTGATTATTATTTTACAGGTTTGATTCAACGAGAAAACTATCTAAAGCTATACTGAAATCTAACAAAACTTCGAGAAAAAAATCATGTTTTTTGAAAAAAATTTTGGTTTTTGTGTGGAAATGTTTAGTTTTTTCGCAAAATTTTGGCTCGCATTATCTAATTGTTAGATAATACTGGTTAATTACGTGTAGGTTGTAAAATTAAGGTTATGTGTTCAGTTTTATTGGTAATTACAACAAAACTGGTAAGAGTTTTTGGGCAAAAACTTGGAGTTTTTGTCACAAAAATTGAAAATTTTTCATAAAAACTTTAAAACACAATAAGTTTTGTTGTAATTCGATCTAATTTATTGGATAATCTTACTTTATATCTACCTGAATTATGCCGAAAGCTATTGAAACTTCGAAAAGTCAACTTTTTGGAAAAAATTGCAAAAATTTCAAAGTTTTCGGAAAAAATTGCAAAAATTTCAAAATTTTTGGAACAAACTGCAAATTTTTGGAAAGAACTGCAAAAATCTCAAGGTTTTGGCTAGTTTTTTGTTGCTTTCGATCTAAGTTTAAAAAATATGGATATGTTTAGAGTTTAAAATTAAGCTCAAATTGTAATTCAATTGGCATCATGTTGAGACACTGTTACAAAACTTTAATAGAAAAATAAATTTTTCCAAATTTTTCACACAAAAAATTGAAATACGATAAATTTTAGCTTTATTTGAGAAACAAAGCGGGTTGTATAACGCTCTCAACATTAACAGGAAAGCTCATAAAAGCTGAATAGAAATTGAAACTTGCGGAAGATAGTGAAAATAACCGTAATTTTCAAGAAAGTAAAATAAAAATTATACAAATTTGTCAAAAATTTTCCATTTTCAACCTTTTAATTGGATAAAAAACTGATTTTTTGTCCAATTCAGTGAGATTTGAAATAGGACTCTCAATAAAAATGAACATTAAGAGCAATAATCCATAAAACTTCTAGATTTTTGCTCAATGATTAACCCAAATTTGTGCAAAAATTACAAATTCAGAGAAATTGTTCACCTTAATAGTACAGAAATTCAGATCAATGATAAAAAATGAACAATTAATTGCTAAAACTGACTAAAAATGAGATAATTTTTTTAAAAAATTTATTCGATATTGGCTCAAATTCAACAAAATTTTCTTCATAACTGATGATTATCTCTCTATTGCTTCTGAAACATAATTTTCACAATTTTCCGTAGAAATGTTCTATTCTTAAAGGTTATTCTTACTTTCTGCTTAAAACATGGTTTCGCTATTGACCACAC